TATTTATTTTAATTACTTATTATATTTGTTATGTGCCGAATATTGGACCAATATTGAGTGTGCAGTTTTTACTCAATGTTTAATGTTGTCTGTCCCACCAACGAGATACTATATATTAAAGACTGTCAATCCTGGGCAAATTTTCGTCCATACAAGAAGCCCGGAACTAATTGAAATACGCCTATACGTTATCAATAATTATCAATTGAAATACGTTATAATTAATTAATATAAATTTACAATTATTAATTTAAATATTTGCATAATATATTACTAAATTGATGATTTTTTACTATGTAAATGTTTTTACTATGTAAACTATAAATAAGTATGCATGCTTATAATGCTATAATATGTATATTGCATGTTGTTACACAATTTTTTTCTCTATGTATATCTGTTATATTATCTTTACTGATAATTAAACGGATGATAACATTAAAATCATAATTTTAAATAAAAATCAAGTATTATTGAATTTTAAATATATATCTACAAAATTAATAATAAATTAGTATTTGTATTATCAATTTATTATTCTTAATCACTTAAGTTTCAACAATGATGCGATCTTTCGTAAAATTGTCAGTCTTTAATAGAATCTCTTGGATGACTGCACATTTGTTTCCCAATATTGCGCCAATATTTTGTGCTACTGGGATAGTATCCTAGGGTTAATCATTAATATTTTACATTCTAATACAATTTTTTCAAATATTCCTTTTAGGAATAATATAATTTAAGTACCTTTAAGGTCGTATTGTTTCAATATCGATTTCTCCATCGAATTTCTTGGCTGACAAAGATTAGAGCGAAAGCAATCAAGCAAGGCACGCAATTCACACTGTCTCATCAAAACGTTTAAATATTTTAGGCACAAACACATAAAAGTTAGAACAAGGAATAGACTTTCTGTTAAATCTTCTACATCATTTCTCATACGTATAAGCTCGGCCATCTCAAATATCGTAAAATGATATATTATAGCAGCAATTGTATATCTATCAAAATTATATATACGTCAAAAAAAGGAAAAGTTACACAATGCAGTACATAATTGTAATTTCTAAAAATGTATATCGCTTAATTAAAGAGGTTCTCGCGTTTGATAAAATATAAGCCAAGTTTATAATATACATGTGATACAAAAGTTAATAATATAAATAATATATATCTAGAAAAAATTTCATTGGCTTTTACCGTACCATTTGAAGATATTTTATTTTAAATTTATGGAATTTTATATTACAAATTAAAAGTATAATCTTATTCTATAATTATATATATATATATATTTTCTTTTAAATTGAGACACTTATAATTGAGAAAATATAAGACAGCAATTTAAAAATCATTATAATTATAAAGTAAATACTTAAGTTTGTTTTTGTAAAGTTTCATTTAAACTAATCGTACAGTTTACAAGAAATTTATATTCTTCAATAAAAAAAACTTGAATATATGTCAAATGAACGATACATCAAATGAGCATCTTACAACTTTTATTTTGTCATTTTGAAAATATTTAGTAACATATAAAATTAACAATAATTATGTATAATAGCATAAGATATTGTTAATAATCTTTTTATTCCATTATTTTAATTGTTTTATATATTCCCAGTCAGAAATGATAATGGAATCGACATCAAATCGATGTCGATTCGACATCGTTCGACGTCGAAAGCATCAAATCAACGTCGAGTCGATTCCATTATCATTTTTTACTAGGTTATAAATAAACTATCTATTGACTAGGCAGTAGCGCGAGAATCTCCTTAATGAACAGTACATTTATAAATAATTTTAATATATTAATATATATATTAATGATAAAATAAATTAGTGAATTTATTTGCATAATATATGTCTTATATTTATTCTACCTGTAGCAGAAGGTGATAAAGCGTATTATCAAGTTGCTATTCTTATGTTCTTTCCATACACCGCAGAAACGAAGAACGTAAAAGTTTATCGGTAGTAAGTCCATATTTTTATTATCGTCGCATCCATAAACGTAACAGCAAATCTTCTCTCGATAATGGTGAAATATAGTATGTCATTTGTTTATAGAGCTGTAGCGACATCCCCGATGACAATCTTGCATTAATAACGATGTCTAAGTATATGGTACTGTTAGAGTGCTTTATTTTTTAATACCATCCATCAGAACATATGGACTTCCGTCATTGTTCGCATTCTTATTTTTAATTTTATTAGATGAAGTAAAATGTCGCGACAGTCTTTAACGTAGATAAATTGTCACTCATTTAGAAGACTTCCTTCTACATTAGCTTACAATATAAAAACCGTAAATGAAATCGTAAAACAAGAATCCGTAAAATTATGGGTTTATTATAAGGAACATTTTATTCTAGAGATGAAACATATGACTCAATTGTGCTCAGAAAATAATAGCTAAGAAAGAATTGCTTCTGTAAAAATTTCTTAAAAGAATTTTTTTAAAAGAAAACAAGTGTATAATAAAAACAAATTGTACAAGAGAAGCTAGTATTATGGCCAGTGCAGATATAATGGGGCTCCTCCTTTTAATATCTCTGCTATTAAGTAGTGAATTCTAGCGATTATGGAGTTACTTGCTTTGTAGCCCGCTTTTACAACACAACCAATACATAATAGTTACATTTATTATAATGTATTTTTATTATTTACAAACAATTACTTACAAACATTTCGAAATATTTTTATAATACATTTTAGCATATTTCCCCATTCTTCCTAAACTCAAACGTATTATCATAATATACAGGGTATTCAGCGTAACGGTCCGCACGACTTTTCAGACACTTCCAACAGTTAAAAAAAAGTTAAAAGGTGAATATTTATTTATTTCATACAGGCCACAACATGCAATAAAAAATATTTAAAAAAAATTTTTTTTTTTTTTATAAAATAATTAGTCATCTTAAATTTTTTAAATAGTATCATACAATTTTTTTCCATAATATTGCAGGGGTTTTCAAGATGAATTCAAATCATTATCTTTATACATGTTATATTGATTTTATTGCATATTTTATTAAATAAGTACATAATATATATGCATCATAAAGCATCATAATCCATAAGCAAAGAATACGATTATAAGCATAAATTAATAAAGAAAAACTGTGACTTATCTATGTATGTATATATTCTGTATCTAGTTAGAAGTTGTAAACACTGCTGTTACAAATAATGATGCAAATTTGATATTAAGTATCAATAAAATCAATAAAACATTAGAGGAGAAGGTGATATTATGGCCAATAGATATTGTGGCCTCCCTTAATATGTCGATATGTATTATATAGCGAATCCTAGCGAATAATTAGTTATGGAATTATTCGTCCAGTAGCTCACCGTTACACCATGACGCTAATATACTAATACTCAAGTAGCCAATACTTACTATAACGTATTTTTATTTTTAAGTATTTCGAAACGTTTCTAAGGTACATTTTAGCATTTAATTATACCTTCCTCATTTTTCTTTTTTGAGGTTTTCATATAATAAACAAATTATTATTTGATAATTGATTGTAGCTCTAATGTTGTAGCTCTATATAGTTTAATCTACTTGTACTACTTTTAGTAGAGAGTGATTTTTAGTACCGAACAGCTAATATACAGAAGTTATGTGAATATATGTACATACATTTATTTGCATACATTTTAAAATGTTTTATTTTTTTTTAATTTTGTAACCAGATACTTTTCTAAACAAAACTAATTTTTTAAGGCTATTTTTATGGAAGGCCACATCACATTATTATGTTTTTCTTCGAGTTATTATGCAATGTTGCCACATTTTTATTAATAGTGTCTTAACGTAACAAATATTTCATAAACTTTGAGTCCAGAATCGATTCATTAACATTTTAATAAATATAACTGTCAAGTTTTAAACTTTAATATGGATTATTAACCAAGTTATTGTGTAAAATGTAATTTGAGGTGCCATAATATACCACCTTTTTCTCTAATAAAAGTGACATTTCAGTAGTAATTACAATCCGTTTTAAAGATTCTTACAATATTATATATGGAAAAAAAATTGTATGGAGTCATTAAAAAAATTTTAAATGACAGATTTTTTACAAAAAAAATTTGTTTTAAATATTTTTTGATTGCATGTTGTAACCTGTATGAAACAGATAAATATTCATAAATTACGTGCAAATTCTGAATATAAAATGAACTTTGAGTTAAAATGATAAAAACTTTGCATATACTGAACTATTAAAATCATTTCTAGCTTCTATAAAAAATTGTTTAAAATATTTGACAAAAAAAGAAATTTGTATTCTTCTTTTTTTTATATACAAATATATGTAACGTGCTAAAAACTTTTATTATAAGAAGAACAAAGTTTCTAATATAAGAATATCTAAAATATTCTATTTCTACTGTTAAGTACTATATGTATGTACAAAAATACATTTGCTGTAAGTTCGATTAAATTAACAGTACTACATTTCATAAAGAATAAACAACGAGTACTACTTTAAAGTTTGTTACAATAAATTAAAAGCAGAATAGGATGTCTTTAGAAACTCCCCAAATATAAAAAATAAACTTATAAAATATTTAACAAATTACACGTATTATATTTTTGTATATGTATCTTTTATAATACGTTACATATATTATATTTTTATTAAACTCTAATTATTATACAATATGTGTGCCAATGTAAAAGTGCCAAATATTAGTGCGCAGAATCCATAAGAAGAAAGTATTTTTCCTCTCGGGCTCATCATCATAATGAGCAATAAATTTGTACATTGCTTAGCTGATACTGTCCAATCACTGATATAAATAGCATGCGCGATGCTTTCATTCTACACAAAAAATATGTATCATAATTTGATATAACAAATATAAGATATTATACATACATTAAGCGCGCGGTAAAAGATAGAATTTATTATATCAATACCTTTAAATCTCTCTCTCGAGTTCGTTGCCAAATCAGCAGTAAATATACTTGAAAATATTCATCAATCTTAAATATAATATAAATTCAGGACTAAAAAGTTTTTGCTGCAATAAAAATATTGATCATAGTATTATTTAAACAAATATCAATTTTATTACCTGAATTTTATTAAATTATATAAATATTGTAACTAACTTTGTAATGCCTACTGCATGCGATAAGCGGTGAGCGACGAGCGATATCCAATTAAAGCTCTGCTTTGCACGTCACGTGAGAAAAAGCAGAGTTTTTATTGGATATCGCTAGTCGCTCATCGCTTATCACGCCCAGTGTGCAGTAGACATAAGTCATATTGGTTACGACAATTTCTATAAAAAAGGAGGAAATAATGTTGTTAGCAATGAAAATCCCTGGGAACCACAATTTAATTTTCTACAAATTAGGGTGTATACTTAACAACGTTACTAATAGTTTAAGGGCATATTCACATAAACTTGCATAGCCGCATAAACGTATGCATAAAGAAAATTACTCAATTATATTACATAT